AGAGAGAGAGAGAGAGAAACAGAGAGAGAGAGAAAGAGAGAGACAGAGAGAGAGACAGAGAGAGAGAGAGACAGAGACAGACACAGACACAGACAGACAGACGGACAGACAGACAGATAGACGTAAAGACAGGCAGACAGACTGAATGTGAGGGAGAGGGGGGGGGAGTAACATGAACGGAGGTTTTGCAGGAAAGAAATGAAAATTAATGAATTTATAGAATTCTGACGGACAGCCGTAATACATAGAAGGAATAAAGAGGAGGATGTGATCACTTAATCTTAATATGTTTCTATATCTTTATACCAGCATTCTTTTCTATAATTTAGATCTTTACGCTTTGTGTTCTTCATCAAACCTCTACTAACATTGTAAATACATGTTCGTAGAATTGTTATCGTATTTACGAAGATAATTAGTCGCTTTTAGGCACAAGGGGGCTATCCAGAAAAATGGTGTTTTGAGAAAATCGAAGGTAAAGTTTTGACCCCTTATTCAGTTTCTTTTAAAGACAAGTAGAGTTTTCTTTATAACCAAACAAATATACACACCAACGAAACCAAACGACTCCTATAGGTAGGGCAATGGCAATTTTTGTTGTAAGTCAAAATTTCTCGAAACCCCGGTAATCTGGGTTAGCCGGCTGATACTTAAAAGCGCCCAATTATACATTTGTTGATAGTGACGTAAAACACGTACTGAAACAAACAACTCTCTGTTGAAGTTGCTTGATAAAAGGGTTTACCTGAACAGGTTGTTAGATATTGTTCATGTAGCAGGTGTAGAGATTCGCTACATTCTTTCCGTCTCTGGCTAACGAGTCCTGGAGTCCGATCATTCAACTGGCGATAATATTCTGACCAAGTTTTTACTTCCCAGAAACTGTAGGTATGTCTTCAGGCTCTCACCGATCGCGTGTTAGCTCGATAAGCCTATCGGTTACGTGGTCTTTGCATTTGCAAAGTAAGTGCTAATGGGCGGGGATTAAAGGGAAGGAAGGGAGGGTAGACGTTTGGGGGAGGGGGAACGTGGGTGTGCGTGTGTCTGTCTGTCTGTGTGTGTGTGTGTGTGTGTGTGTTTGTGTG